AATACCAAATGACTCTAATACAGATATTGATAAAACAAACAGGCTCTCTTAAAACTGGACGTTGAGAGGTGATAAGCTAAGATAATTTTCTTTGATTTATAATTCCCCATTTATCCTTAGAGATGTCAAGCATTTTCCTTACACATTATTTTGCCTTTCTTTCCTCTAACCTGAAGTAATTAAACATAGTATACGCTCTCCGGCGAAACGGGTCGTTAATAAATTCTCCACTCTGTCTCATCATTTTCATTTTTGTTTCGGATACTATTATACATGCTACAAAACACACACACACACACACACACACACACACACACACACACACACACACACACACACATATATATATATATATATCCTCTATTTATGTATCTCTAATTGTATGTATATCTATCTTATTCTGTTTACCCCCCACCTTTTTGTCTATCTAGCTATTTTTCTGTTCATATCTATCTCATCCTGTTCCTATCTATCTATCTATCTATCTATCTATCTATCTATCTATCTATCTATCTATCTTTGTTCATATCTATCTACCTTATTACGTTCACATCCCCCTCTTTTTGTCTATCTAGCTATTTATTCTTTTCACATCTATCTATCTATCTATCTATCTATCTATCTATCTATCTATCTATCTATCTATCTATCTCAGTCTGTTCATATCTATCTATCTATCTATCTATCTATCTATCTATCTACCTTATTACGTTCACATCCCCCTCTTTCTCTCTATCTAGCTATTTATTCTTTTCACATCTATCTATCTATCTATCTATCTATCTATCTATCTATCTATCTAATTATGTTCATATCTATCTATCTATCTATCTATCTATCTATCTATCTATCTATCTATCTATCTCAGTCTGTTCATATCTATCTATCTATCTATCTATCTATCTATCTATCTATCTATCTATCTCATCCTGTTCATTATTTGCAAACACAATGAGTGCCAAGTGCACTATTTCTTTCTTCAGTCAAAAAAGGTTTTCTTTTACTTTTTACTTTCATACTTATTTTCTTTACAATTTGTAATGTTAGTCCCATAAATTTTGTCTATTCATTTACCAATCACTTTTCTTTTGCAGCAATGAACATTCATCACAAACATTACTTAAACGTTTCTTGATTCTATCAATAAGAAAGAAAAACACAGAAAAGAAACACTCGCCATTCACAATCTATCCATCGTCACGGAGGTATTAACATTAATAAACAGAGTTTCCCGGGGGAAAAAACGAATTAATCATTTGATAAATTTAAATATAAACATGTGAGCTTTTAAATTAACAGAATAATTCAGAAAAAAAAAGTCATTGAATTAATGTCAGGCATATGTCATTATAAAATGTTAGGATGGGCTATTACAAAATATATTAATACATTTATTCATGCATGTCATTGTTTATATAGGTCGAAGGTAGGATTTTGAATACAATCAAGATCGTCCTATCACGCCCAACGAGCGTTTAATACACTTGTATATTTGTAAAATCTGCAATATCTTTATGCTATAAAGGCTCACACTTCTCCCCGGTCTTTTGAACATGAATAAAGATTTAACCCTTATTTCCTGTTCAGGATTCATTTTCCACTTCTTGCTTCAATTCTATTCTTCTAACGTCTCCGCTTAAAACTTAAAATTTATACTATTACTGGGTTTCTGGACCTTGTTTAAGGCTCTGCCTTCTGTTTCACTTCCAGTAGTCTCTTGCGTCTTAGTGGCTTTATCTTCTTACTTAGGGTGAATTGATTAAGGAATAGGAATAGATAGTTTCTCTTATTGTCCGGTTACCACTTCTCCTTTGTCTTTTGAACAGAAGTAGAGGTTTATGCTTTTTTTTCCTGTTTAGTATTGGCTTTCCGGCTCCTTTCAAAGTCTACTTCAACGCTGTACTTCTAAAATCTCCGCTTGAATGCTGAAATTTTATTTACTATTTATTTATTTTTCCTCAATAAGAGCAGATAGGTTCGCCTATCGCCCGGCTTACACACCCCGATCTTTTGAACAGGAGTAGAGGGTTATCGTTTTTTTCCTGTTTAGGATTAGCTTTCCAGCTCCTTCTAAATTCGACTTCAACTCTATATTCAAAAGAGTAGATAGGTTCGCGTATATTCCTGTTCACATTTCTCCTCGGTATTTTGAACAGGAGTAGAGGTCCTTTGTCTCCTGTTTAGGATTGCGTTTCATATAGTTTTGTATATGTATTCAAATGCATCCCTGCAAATATTTTTCTCCGGTATACCATTGTCGCATACTCTCATCGGAGTTGCTTACTTTGTACTTTATTTAAATGATATGCTAGATAGGGAGAGGGGAGTTTAAGGGTCCGCTATTGTTGTCTCTATTTTGCTTTTCGCCTTATGCTCCTTTGCCGAAACCCGACTCTATCCCATTCTATAGAGACCTTTCTAGGCACGCTTTAAATTTCTTTTCTGATGTTTGTTATTTTCGTTTTTAGCTTTTCCACCATGATGAGTAAGATGGTGAAGTATGGTAGAGTAATGGATTTATTACAGGAAAAGTTTTCATTTTTTTTTTTAGTGTTTGGGTTTTGTTTCCCCTAAGTAATTCTGATTCTTCGTCATTTCCCTTTTGGCCGGAGAGGCGTTTTCTCTTCATTCGGTGAATTTAGTTGGTGTTGCATCAGCTACTCTTGTTGTCACATCTGGAACGTACCGAAGGGGTATAAAATGTCCATATTCACAAATAACAGTTGCTGACTACCTGATAATTGCATGAAAATGTATGAAACTTTTAGTTCTGTTCACCTGCTTCGCTCTCGGCTTGAGGCAATCTAACCACAATGATTAGCTGTGAAACAGCGAAACAGTCTCTCTGTATATAAAAATATATACGCCCCCGAAAAATTTAATTCGCTCGAGCACTCTTGGGAGAAAAGCGTGAATTTGTAAACAATAACTACTCCTGCTAATATTGCAAAGAACTGAGTCCCATCGGTAATTGGTGTGCTTATCCAAAGAGTAAGTACGTAAAAACTCGCCTTCCTCTCAACCGGCTCAGGGGTAAAATCTTCGACTGATACCAAATCAATCGGGTTTCGCTCCCGGCTTGAGGCAATCGGATGTCTAGCCACACTGATGAGAAACAGCGAAACCGTCTGTCTGTTGATGACAATATTGTTGTGAATTCCGAGATGAAATTCGGTCTCCAATGAATGACATACGAAATAAAGATAAGAAATTAAATGTATTTACACAATAATACAATGGGTATAGTGTTAGTAAATCCAGGAACGTGGTTAGTCGTAATAATATATATATATATATATATATACAGTTTCGAAGTAGGACTTCCTTAGAGTCTACGTGCTTGTAACTGACTTCTACAAGCGGTTCCCTCCCACTATTACTCTACCTCCAACTACATCACAATCTCTGCTCACTCTCCCAATATCTCAATCTCCGTATATTCTGACTGACTGTGGGTATTTAATGGCATCAGTCCCAGTAACACTCTGGTCGAGTCCACATATGAAAAAGGGGAGGACCCCATCACACACACACACACATATATATATATATATACAGGGTACGATGGATAAATTGTCGCCTAAATTATGTAAAAATGGAAATAACACTGGCATCTCATTTTAACAGATATATTTACCAAAATTACATAAAAATATCTTGAAATTCTAAAGAGTAAATTAATTCAATAAAATCGTCATTGGCTTCAACCACGGCCTCCAGACAATATCGGAATCTCCTGCATCTTTTCTGGACGGTCTCCTTGTACAAATTAATGAATGCTGCCATAATCCTTCCCTTCAGTTCATCTTTGGTGTTATAAGGAGTCTTATTGCTCTCTCGTTCAACTGCACCCCACACATAATAATCAAGTGAAAGTTGCAGTCTGTGGAGTTAGGTGGTCAGATGTAAGGGGTGATATAGTCGCAGAAATTGTATGACAGCCATGACTGGATTCTCCTGCGTGTGTGGCATGGTGCAGAGTTCACTTGTCGGACATAGGATCTTCCAGCACTACCTCCACAAGGCACTTGATGTAGACCTCCTCTGGGAAGATGAATGGAAGCATAACATCACCATCAATAGGGATCACACCAAACACAATCGTAATCACCATTAAACTCACCCAACTCTTTCCGAATCCCCAGCACTGTTCTCAGATCGACACTCAAACACTCTGAAATATTCGTATTGGAGCTTTCGGCGCGAATACTATGCAGTACAGCATACCGTTTCCAAATTTCTAGTGGAGTGGATTGCGTTATGATGTTCTTTTTCTCGTAGACGGTTCCCAACTGATCCTACCATACAACCGACAAAATCAAAAACAAACAACGCGCTTGCGCGAAATTAAAAATATAAAATGGTGACAATTTACCCATCGCACCCTTTCCAAAAGAAAACTTATCTCAGTCGGCGCTTTTCGTCCTCTGATGAACTTTATCAAGGCAAATATAAGTACACTATTCACATTATTCGGACTATTGTCCTCATCTTTGTCGCCATATTTATTACAACGTTTGATGAGGACAATAGTCCGAATAATGTGAATAGTGTACATGGTACCTCATCTCAGAAATATAGACAGATATGCAAATATAAGTATTTTATTTTGCCACAAGCATTTATAATAAAAAGTAAAAATGTTTTTAGCTTTTTCTAAATGTTTAAATTCAATAAATATTTATCAGGTAAACTGAAAAGTCGAGATAAATTATAGAAGATGCTAAGTGACATAATTTAATATCTAATAATCAAAAGTGAATAAATGATGTTGTTGAATTATTTTTTAAATGTAATTAATATTTAAATTATTTTAGTTTGGGATTAATTTATGCATTATATATTTTAAATAATAGGTGGTTATGAATTTAAGCGTTTTCTTTTACTTTTTAAAAATTCTATAATGTATGTTAGCTTGGGAAGTCGTCATTCTTTCTGGAATGGATATTTGAAATAATTCATGGGGCAGATCCAATAGTGGCATTAGCGAGAATTTTTCGTCAAGTTACTTTCTCTAAGTGTGGTTAAATTTATTTCTATGTATCATTAACTACATAACTAATTTATTACTTTTGCTTATAACCGTAATTCCCTGTGTATAATACATCCTCATCCATAATACGCACATCTAAAATTGTGCCGAATGTGTAAAAAAAGAAAAAAAAAAGAAGCATAATACGCACACCTTCTTTCGTAATCAAAGCCTACAAATTGTACCTCTCCAATTTTATTACGGCCAGCGTTTTAAAAAAATGGTTTTAAACATAGAATAATATTATTCTAATTTAGTTTTATGATAATTCCTATTTTATTTTACATTTGTAAGTATTGTTAGGTGCATATGGTTGTATTTGACAGCCTTATGGGGTCGCAACAGCCGAATGTTAGTGTCAAATTGTCGTATGCGCGCAACTCAAATCGACCTATGAAACGGCAATAATACACACCCCTAATTTTGCTTACTATTTTTAGAAAAAATGAGTATTATACATGGGGAATTACGGTACTTGTCGTAAGATAGAATCTTTACATTTGCCTTGCTAAAGATCATCAGAGGACGAAACGAGTCAGCTAAGTTTTCCTTGTTTATTCTCCTATCCTTATACGGATATACTTTTTGTTATATATGAAATTTCGCACAGACACACACACACACGCACACACACACACACACATATATATATATATATATATATATATATATATATATATATATAGGTATGTGTGTGTATATACATATCTATTTATAAAAACTGATATTACGTAAGAAAGAGAAACAAAATATTTATTGCATATTTATTTTTTCTATATATGAAAAAATATCGATAAATATATAAATATTTTTATTTTTTCAGTAACATCAGTTATTATGAAAATTTATATGTATATATATAGAGAGAGAGAGAGTGAGGGAGATATAAATATATATATATACATATATACATATATATATAT